GGGAAGGGGGTTGGTGAATTTGACATTGTAATTTTACATACAATTCTTTTACCCCATAGACTTTGGTCAACCAACTGCCCGTTTAACATTTGCAGCCGCCTTTAAGGCTTGAAAATGATGGACCCAGTCTCCCAATCATGCCCCAGCTGCAAATCAAGCAAATACAACAACCCGCAGCTGCGGCTCATGGTGAACGTTTGTGGACATTCCTTGTAAGCTGGTCTGTTTTTACCTGACCCTCTCTTAGGTGCGAGAGCTGCGTGGAGGTCCTTTTTGTAAGGGGCTCAGGTCTCTGCTTCCAGTGTCGTACTCCAATACGCAAAGCAAATTTTCGTTATCAGCTCTTTGAGGATCCTGAAGTTCAGAAAGAAATCGACATTCGCAAGAAGATTCTCAATGAGTAAGACATTAACAGCACGTATCCCAACCTACCGCAGATTCAATCGGAGAGAAGAGGATTTTGAAACCATGGATGAATATGACAAGTACCTGGAACAAGTCGAAGAAATTAGTAAGTCGACCCCTTTTTGATGTTTCAGTTTATAAATTGACGAATGACATTGACGTTGAGGAAACAAGGAAACTTGTTGAACATTACAAGAAGGAGAACAAAGAACTAATAAAGCGCAATAGGACGAAACAGGTCAGTTAGATCGTCATTAATTTAATTATATGTCCGTCCGAATCTATTTTGTTTGCCTCAAGTTTATTCTGAATAACTTGTATCATACGACAGTGTCCAATAGTGCCTTAGTACTTTTCCCACAAATGGTTTTCATATTGGCTTTCAAAATTCCTTTGGGGACACTGCCGGCTTAGCTATGATTAATACTGTTTAGGTTCAGCAATGATATCCACATTTGCCACATTTTCTCGCTCACCAGAAAGCAGTATTTGATCACCCTAAAATGAAAGAAAAAGGAACAGTAGCCCAGTGTGTAGAGTATAATTGCCTTTAAAATATCCTTTAAAATATCAAGGGTTTTACTTAAGACATTTAGATTATGCCATACTGAGACGGTTAATCAAGCTGTTCGCACCAGGCGCATTCATTCAGTAGCCTGAACTCCTTGTCCCAAATCAAGCTAACCAGAATTCATGGACTGTTACGCTCCATTATCCCAGTTTCGGTAGGATATGAATAACTGTTTATTCAAAATCTGCATTGAGATCCACTAGACGAACGACTATCTTCATACAAACGTGTAATTAGCAGCCCACATAAACGATGTTTACTTCGAATGTAAATTAACAAGGTCTTCATTACTTTTAGCTTTTTTGAAAAGAAGACGGGTCTCGATTATTTGAACGAAACGACTGATATAAGGGATCTCACACAGTTAATCTACTAGGTATTCTCCATAGAGAAGGGAGAATAGCACCTATCATACCAGT